ATTGTATGAAAATGATATTAGTATTTTAAATCTCTGAAAATTTGATAGGTAAAAATGCATTCTTGTTGTTTTAATTTAGTGAGGTTTATCATATGTCCAGTGGCCATGGATATTAGTTATTCTGTGATAGCCTGATCCTAACCACTGTTTTTTGACTTTTGGGTTTCCTATCTTGCTTAGGAAATCCTCCCTTATCCTCAAGATTATAAAAACAGTGTTCCTATTCTAACTTGTTGCCATTGAGTTGATTGCAACTCATAGCGACCCTACAGAACAGAGTAAACTGCTCCAAGGCTGTAATCTTTACAAAGCAGACTGCCACTTCTTTCTCCCATGGAGCAGCTGGTGGGTTTGAACTGCTGAGCTTTCGGTTAGCAGCCGAGCGCTTAACCACTGCACTGCCCTGGCAATCAGAGTCGATTCCACAGCAACGGGCACGAGTACGGTTCCTATTCTGCATCTGTCAGTTTGTTGAACTGTGGTGGCTTGCATGTTGCTATGATGCTGGAAAATATACCACCAGTATTTCAAACAACAGCAGGGTCACCCATGGTACACAGATTTCAGTGGAGCTTCCAGACTATTACAGACTAGAAAGAAAGGCCTGTTGATCTACTTTTGAAAAGTAGCCAATGAAAACCCTATGGGTCACAACGGAATATTTGTCTGATATAGTGCTAGAAGCTGAGTCTCCGAATAGAAGGCAGTCGAAATACACGGTGGCTGCAACAATGGAGTGAAGCATACTAAGGATCTTGAAGATGGTGCAGTACCAGACAACGTTTTGTTCTGTTGTACACAGGTTGGCATGAGTAGGAGCCGAACAGATGGCAACTAACAACAACAACAACATGTTCTTATTATTTAATCTTAGCCACTTCTTATTGTTTCTCTCTCTCTCTCTTTCTTAATATGGTTCTTTAAACCATCGGGGATTTACTTTTGTTTCTCTTATGATTAAATTTTATATTCTCTTATAATGGTTCTTGGTTTCCTTATAGCATCTAATCCTGGCTCAATGAATTTTAGCCCATTGAAATTTTCCTTAATAGATCTTTCTCTCTCCTGGCATTTATCCTAGGGCAAAGATCCAAGGAGGCTGCTTCCCTGCCTTTCTCTTAAGCTTTTCTAACTGGCTGCCCCATGACCCACCTCAGTGATCCTGTATCCTCCTGCTCTCCTCCTACTGTTTGCCAACTCTCAGTGTTCTCTAAACCAGTCTATATTTGCTTTCATTAACATCTTTCCTCTAGAAAAGGGTTTGCAGACTTCTGGGTGGGGGAGGGCCAGGCAGAAATATTTTTTTTTATTCTGCCATTGTAGCGTGAAAGCAGCTACAGATAATAAGTAAGGAATAAGTGTGGTGACACAGTGGTTATGATCCTGGCTGCTAACCAAAAGGTTGACAGTTCGAATCCACTAGGCAGGCGCTCCTTGGAAACTCTATGGGGTAGTTCTGTTCTGTCCTGTAGGGTCGCTATGAGTCAGAATTGACTCGATAGCAATGGGTTTGTTTTTTTACTCCAATAAAGGTTTATTTCTGGACAGTTTAATAGGATTTTCACATGATTTTCATTTCAAGTTTTCATCTTCTTTAGATGTTTTCACCACTATTTAAAATGTAAAAAGCATTTTAGATGGCTCACAGGCCATTTAAAAAGAGGTTGTGGGCCAGATTTGCCCACGGGTCATAGTTTGATGACCTCTGCTCTAGAGCCACCGTCTAGAGTTTCTTCTTTCCTACCCTGGATCCTCCCTTTAAAAAGGATCCCAGGTCTTAGATGCACAACTCTAAGTGATTCCCTTCTCTTGACCCAATTTTAATATAAACTTTAATGTGTTTAAAACAATACATTTCAAGCCCCCCAAATCCTGGAAATTACTCACAACTAATACACGACTTCAGAGTTTTATTTTCTGTGGATGTTAAACTGCTTCGTTGTTCAATTTAGTGTAAATGCTGTATGAAAGTTTTCTTTTCAGAGGGGATATCTATTCCACTACATGTAACCTTTAAAACATTTGAATTTCTTCACAGCCTTGTAGACTACTACCGCAAGATCAATTGGGTTTAAAAAATATTTTTCTAGAAACGTATATGCTTTGTTTGCAAAAATAAGTTATGGTTTGGCCACTATTTTTTTTTTTTTTTGTTAAAATACTCCATATGCTTACAAACACTTGAAAATATTTGCCTCTATTATCCATTTATAGCCTGGCCACAAGACTCAGGAACTGAATGGTGCAAGTCACAGCTTAATGCTCTTTGGGACCGTCATTGTATAGTCCTTAACACAGATTTGCCGAGTGTCTTTATAGGCTACAAATTACTTCCATAAACATTCTTTTTAAAATTACTTTAGGTAAATAAAACAAATTTACAACATTGAAAGCAGAAACTGTCAAGATTTTAAGTGATTACTCCCTTCCTAACTACTCTTCCAGGAGTCCCTGGGTGGCACAAATGGTTAAGCATTTGACAAAAGGTTGGCATTTCAAACCCACCCAGATGCACATTAGAAAGGTCACTGCTGTGAAAACCCTAGGAGTGCAGCTCTTCTCTGCACACATAGGGTCCCCATGAGTAGGCGCTGACTCCACAGCCAACTAACAGCAACCACTCACCCGACTCTACCTTTTGGGAATGAGGAAAACTGAAAACTATGACGTTTATTTAAACAAGTGGTTTTGAGATAAATTTTCTAGCAGTGAAAAATGTGTTATTCATCAACTGTCAGGGGGGAAACTCATTAACAGTGCCAGAAAAGGGGAAGGGGACTAATATTTATTGTGCTCCTACTTTGCATCAACAGTTTCTTACAAGAGTAACGTCCCCAAGATAGCCCAGTTTGTGAAAGATACAGAGCCCAGATTTAAATCCAAGAACCTGTTTCTACACCTACCTTGCCTCTTCAAGGATTCAGCTTGGAAAAAATAAGCCTTCTGGCATGGTCCATAATATATTAATATTTATATGTGTTTGTTGCACTCTTTTTTAGGCATATAGACACACTTTGAAACAATTGAAAACTTCATTTTAAAAATTCCCTTAATTGAGCTTTTATTACTTCTGTCTGGAGAAGTAGAAACTAGCTTTCTGTTCTGTCATTACATTTCCCTTGGCAAAACAAATTCTCTCACAAAATTAAGTCATGTGGCAGTATCATTTGTGTTAGAATTTCTTAGTTTTATTTCTTTTGCACATGTCCGATTAGTTCTAGATATTAATCTTTAATATTGTCAAGGAAGACTGCTCAGAGTTCACTGTACCACAAACACCAGATGGTGATTCAAGTGTTAAGATTTGAGGTTTTAAAATTTTAACTCCCCCCAAATCCGTGCGTAAACAGTCTACTTCCCTCTCATCTTCCTTCACACCTTCTCCTATACACATTTCTTTCTCCTTCCCCTTGGCACACTCTCTCTCTGAATTTTAAATGGAAAGTGAGTCAGGGAATAATGGAACATTCCCTAATACTTGCTTTAACGGTGTTTAAATTGCCATTTTTAATTTAAAAGCAAAATTCAGATATTTTGGGTTTCTTTTTTCAGACTTGTCTTCTCTTAATAGAAATTTCTATAATCTCTAGTAAAATTAGTCAAACAAGCGCCTCTTTAACCACAAAAGTTGACTATCCAAGACTCCTCCATTACTAAGGTATTATAGCCATTTAGCAAACTTTTTTTTTTCTTCAATATATTTTGGTTGTAAAACTGCAAGATAGTTATAGTGTTCTGAGAAAGGGGTGGCTGAAATGACCAATGGAGTATAGATGCAACATCACTGAAAAACAAATGACAAATATAAAAGCTCTAGTCTAAAAATTAAAAGGCCAAAGGGGGCTAAAAACACAATTTCTGAAGCATTAATCATTTTGATAGGTAATCATGATCTTCACTAAAATCTGGAGCTCTAGAATATGGTACTGCTTTGAATTGTGGGGGAAGTAAATCTAGTACAAATAAAAGACCCCAGTAAAGAGATGTTTTAGTTAGAAATAGGCTTGCCTGTGAGTGAGAGAGGACTACAAATAACAGTAGCTTAAACAAGATAAGTTTATTTCTCTCTCAAGAAGAGACCAGAAGTAGCCAGCCTGGGGCTGATGGCTGATGTGGCACTTCCCCAATCATCAGGGTACCAAGCTCTTTCTTGCTTAAGGTTTTACCATTCTTAGCATGTCATCTTATGGCCCAAGATACCTTCTCGAGCTCCAGCCATCACCTCTGCCTTGCAGTCAGCAGGAAGGAGGAAGGAAAGAACACTTCCTAAAAGGAGGGGATACTGGGAAATGTGGTCTTTATTCTGGATAGTCATTGCCCTCCTAAAACTCTAAGGTTCCATTACTACTGAAGAAAAGGAGAATAAACATTGGGTAATAACTGAAAATGTATAATGGCTGAAAATGTAACAAGCAGTAAAGGAAATATGGAGACTCATACTTGACCATTGGAGTGAATTGAAAAAGGGAAGTTTGGGGTAATCATGTTGTTGTTGGATGCTATTGAGTTGGCCCTGGATGGATAGGTACCCAATATACAATGGAATGAAATTCAGATTTCCAGGCTTTTCTCCCTAGTTTGTCTTACTCTGATACCTCTGCTGAAACCTGTTCAGCACCATAGCAACATGCAAGCCTCCACTGACTGACAGGCAGTGGCTGCGCATGAGGTGCATTGGCCGGGAATCAAACCCAGGTTTTTCACATACCTGTTGCTGTCAAGTCGATTCTGACTCATAGCAACACTGTAGAACAGACTAGAACTGCCCCATAGGGTTTTCAAGGAGCAGCTGGTGAATTTCAACTGCTGACCTTTTGGTTAGCAGCCAAGGTCTTCACCACTTCGCCACCAGGGCTCCACATGGAAGACAAAAATTCTACCACTGAACCACCAATGTCCTCATGTGGTTTAATCATAACTATGTCTTTACCAAGGGCAAAGGAAACAAGTCAGACCAATCTTTTATGTCTAATCCAGAATTCTTACGTTTTTATGTTCAGTGGTATTGCCAAAGCATGGAACCAGGCATATTTTGGGGAAGGATCTGGCCCAGTAATGTTGGATGAAGTACGCTGCACTGGGAACGAGCTTTCTATTGAGCAATGTCCAAAGAGTTCCTGGGGAGAACATAACTGTGGCCATAAAGAAGATGCTGGAGTGTCCTGTACCCCTTTGACAGGTAAGGAGTTCACCCCATTAATTTATCAAACCTTGCTCCCAACACATTTGGGCTTGTCACACCTCCCCAGTTCAATTTAGATCCTGTTACCAAATGAGCTTATAAATAAATTCCCCAAATCAAACTAAAAAAAAATTACCAAGAATTGTATATTAAAATGCTATATCCTTATTCATATGTATTTCTGAACTTTTTTAATCAGTGTTTCATTCTGTTGTATGTAGGGTTGCCCTGTGAGGCAGAACTGACTAGATGGCACCTAACACCACAACAAACCCTATAAAGCTAGATTGGAAAATATGACTTTGTTGCAATATGTAGTACCCAATAATCAGAATCAATGTGGAATGGTGTCTTAGTTTCTTAGTGCTGCTATAACAGAAATACTACAAGTGGGTGGCTTTAACGAACTGAAATTTATTTTCTCAGTTAGGAAGCTAGAAGTCTAAATTCAGGAGAAGGCTTTCTCTGTAGGCTCTGGGGAAGTGTTCTTGTCTCTTTTCAGCTCTTTTCCTCTGTTCTTTGGCGATCTTCATGTGGTGTGTGTCTTCCCCTCCATTTGTGCTTTCTTCCATCTGCCTTATCTACTCTTTTTATATCTCAAAGATGATTAACTTGAAACACACCCTACAGTGATATAGACTCATTAACATAACAAAGATATTATTCCCAAATGTGATTACATCCACAGGTATAGGAGTTTAGGATTTACAATGTATTTTGGGGGGGCACAGTTCAATCCACAACAAATGTAAATTTCAGATATTAGGTGTTATAATTATATATTTAATCCGTTCATCTGTTAACTTGTCTTGACTCTCAGAATATAGCTGGTAAAACCTTACATGGGATCGTTGATTAAAGCACACTATTAAAAAGACTAAATTAACATTGCTGTGCCCAATTTTCTGACTATCCCAAACAGCAGTGTACTTGTCAAAATGTTATGTGTTATAAGAAGGTTATGTGTGAGGGCAAATGGGTATGTGTGTAAGTGATTACACATTTTGTGAGAAAAAAAGGGAATGGACATACAAGAGAGGTTGGGTCATCACAAATCTATTCTGTAGCAAAAAGAACTGAAGAAAAAAAATGTTTAAATCTTTCTTTGGAAGCAAAATCGAAAGAAAGACTTGGTAGAGCCTATCAAGTGCTGAGTTTATGCCCTTCTATTTACTTAGTTAACACATGCTGTTGTTTTTATTAGCAGAGTAACACATTTACACACAATAGAAATACAAACTTTGTATTTACTGTTAATAGCAATATATAAGCTGTTTGTTATAGTGGAAAGAGCTTTGGGCTAGGAAAAAAGACCTGGCTTCCTACTCCCCAGTTCTCTCTTAACTTGCTGCTGTCAGGTCGATTCCAACTCATAGCGATCCTATAGGTCATGTGATTTATGCCAGAGCATTTCATCTTCTTGAGTCTCCATTTCCTGCTCTTTCAAATGAGGATTTTAGTGCCTGTTTTGCTGGCCTTGTGGTATTGCTGTGATGGCCAAATTGGGTAATATGTTTAACAGTGCTTTGCAGATTATAAAGTATTATAGTAATAGACGGTTCTGTTGTTGCTAAGAGTCTTACATTTGCTTTAAAAAAAAGAAAAAACCCAGAGATTCATGAAAAGTATGACCTTTATCCAAGATTGTTTATATGTTTCATTGGGATTATTTTGGTTGGAAATACTTTCAAATCTTCTTTTTTGGGATGAGTTGACTGTATTGTGTATCTGCTTGGAAGTTCTTTATAGGATTCTCTGGGGATTAATTATTCACTGAGTTCATAAGATTCGAATCTGGACTTGTATTATCAATGAAAGAACAAAGGTAAGATGTGTACCCAAGTTTTTATAATTTATATAGAATTTATTATTTATGGGTACTTAAGGACTAATACCACCCATCTTTTAGTTTGTTGTACTGTAGTGGTTTGCATGTTGCTATGATACTGGAAGCTATGCCACTGGTATTTCAAATACTATCAGTGTTACCCATGGTAGACACATTTCAGCGGAGCTTCCAGACTAAAACAGACTAGGAAGAAAAACCTTGCAATCTACTTCCAAAAATTAGCCAGTGAAAACCCTATGAATCACAACAGAATATTGCTTGATACAGTGCTGGAAGATGAGCCCCCTAGGTTAGAAGGCACTCAGAATACACAATAACCACAAGAATGGACTTGAGCATACCAAAATCATTAAGATGGTGCAGGACCAAATGTTTCATTCTGTTGTAGATGGGGTTGCCATGAGTTGGAGCCAACTCAGTGGCAACTAACAACAAGGAATAATAAATGCATTGACATGACAGATGACTCTTTATCCCAAATAGCTAATTCTGTCTCCATATTTCAATATTTTTTCATTTGTAGTTAAAATTTTGAACTATTTCTATGTTACTGTGTTTTCTTTCTTTTAAAATTTAAATGACTAGTATTGCTCAGACTTGAGAAGACTGAAGTTATGGGAAATTTCTCAAATATTTAATATGAAGAAATGTAAATAGCTATTTTGGAATTATAATAATTTATATTATATATAACCAAAAGAAAGAATATTTTATTAGGACAAATATGTCTTAAACTTTAGAAACTATTCAATGGCTTCAGGTCTTCACAGAACACATCATAAGTTTAACAGAAAACCTGGAGAGAGGCCTGAATACGGTGATATTTCTGGTGAAATGAAAATTATGTTTTTCCTTTTTTTTGAGAATTGGCTTGCTTAGTCTCTCTGTCTCTTTCTCATTACAGATGGGGTCATCAGACTTGCAGGTGGGAAAGGCAGCCATGAGGGTTGCTTGGAGGTGTATTACAAGGGACAGTGGGGCACCGTCTGTGATGATGGCTGGACAGAACTGAATACATACGTGGTTTGCCGACAGCTGGGATTTAAGTAAGATCCACTCAAATGCCAAATTATATTTTAAAAAGTCTCATTTTGTAATCTCTACTTGTAATTTCTGTTACACTAAAAATACATGTTCTATGTCTCTGTATCTATCTATCTATCATGATTCATCGGTGGAATTCTTGCCTTCCAAGCAGGAGACATAGATTATATTCCTGACCAATGCACCTCATGCACAGCCACCACCTGTCTGTCATTGGAGGTTTGCATGTTGCTATAATGCTGAACAAGTTTCAATCAAGTTTCCAGACTAAGACAGACTAGGAAGAAAGGCCTGGTGATCTACTACCAAAAATCGGCAATGAAAACCCTATGGATCACAATGGTCTGGTCTGAAATTGATCATGGGGATGTTGTAGTACTGGGCAGTATTTCGTTCCATTGTGCATGGGGTTGCCATGAGCTAGGGCTGACTCTATGGCAGCTAACAGCAACATCCATCTATCTGTCTATCTATCTGTCTGTCTATCTATCTATCAATCAATCGTCCATGGAAGTACAAAAATAAGAAACAATTACGTTTTCTAAGATGATGAATAAGCACCTCTTGCTATTTATCCCCTGTTTTTTTCCTGTCACCACCCGCCTTCTTTGATAATTGATTGAAGTCAATGACTTCTAGATCCCTTTGTGTCTCTTCAAGAAGACTGTATACTTTGAATGCTGTATTTTTTTCTGACACATCACTACTATTGAGTTTCGTTCGTTCTGACATCATTGTGTCCAAAATTGCAGAGAAGTCCTGTGTCAAATGCTTTCGTGTTACGTTATCCCCTTTCTCAGAATGTGATGACAATTATCACTTTTGTTTGAGAAAAACAGTCTTCTTGTCATGAGACGACCTTTAGAACTCACCCTTGGCCTCACCCTTCTGAAAGCCGAGTACCACACTTGGGAAATATATTTCATGTCACACACATAATGCATTCCAGAGTAAAGACTTAAGTTGGTCAAAATAACTGCAAATGATGTCTTTGAGCTAATACTTAAATGGGGCTCATGATGCCCCCTCCTTTTACTTTTCATATTTCTATGTCATGCTTAAAGTAGTTGTCTCAAGCTTTAACACTCTTGGCAAAATTATTTCATTTTAGCATGAGATAGAGCTAATTCACCAAACATTAAAACTATAGCTTTATTCATGCTAGTCAAGACCTTGTTTAAAAAAGTTTTTTTTTTTTTTTTTTTAAATTTATAAAAGTAATAAAAAACATTAGAGAAGTTTGGAAAAGAGAAAAAAGAAAAAAACTACCCATGATTTTTCTATTCTTACACCATTACTATTACAACTTGTGTTTAACTTTTTATCAGCTGTGGTAGTGAGCATGTAATTTTTGTATCCCACTTTTTTCACCTTTATGTTGCTATGTAGTCATAATTTTTAATGATATAATGTCAATTCAATGTTCATAATTTATGTAATATTTTGGTTAGTTTAATTTTCTTCTGTTATAAATAATGCTGTCATGAAAATATAAACACACATAATTTTCCCAAATTTTGAATCTTCTTGGACAGTGCAATTATTAGGTCAAGGGTTATGATATAATGGCCAAATAAATATGATGTACTATTAATAAGAATTACTTAATAAATGCCATTTCATCTGTTAGACTGATCGACAGATTTAGAGAGATTCATAAATCCTATTATTTACTATTTATTTTCATAAAATTTCTTCCTTATTAATGAAAACAATTGAGAGACACTGATTTTTCTCCATATTTATTTATTTTGTTTCATAGATCTATTCAATTTTTCTTGCATACATGGAATATCAGAAATTAATGATTCTAAAAATATTCTCAATAATGTGTTAAAAGTTGTAAATGATTGTGTTAGAATGTAGTAAAAGCATATGTTGCACTTCCTTTTTTAGTTTACTGAAACCTTTCTGAAAGAGAATATTCTTCTGGAATTAGAAAGAGGGTGAACTCTGAGAGTTTCTTTTTACGAAGAAAATCCCAACATACAATAACTTTCTATTATCTATCGTATAGTTGATATGGACAGATGATAACCAGATTGATGAATTCTGTGAAAAATGGTAGAAGTTGAAAAATGATAGTAATGTGAAATTTAGGTTAACTACTTTTTCTAGCCAAGGCTTGATTAGTCAGCAAAATAAGAGAAAAAGCCTTGAACGATTAATTAAAAGTTGCACTGTATTGATTTATTAAAATCATCCTGCAAAATAAATTTAGTAAATAGGGAATAGGAAAAATTATACCAGATAGAAAAATCTCTTCATATTCTTAGTACCAAAAAAAACCCAAACCAGTTGCCGAGTTGATTCCAACTCATGGCGACTCCATGTGTGTCAGAGTAGAACTGTGCTCCCTAGGATTTCAGTGGCTGTGATCTTTTGGAAGTAAATCACCAGGACTTTCTCCTGAGGAGCCTCTGGGTGGGCTCAAACTACCAACCTTTTGGTTAGTAGCTAAGCACTTAGTACAGAAATAATAAAAACATCCAGTGAGGGAAATGATTCACATAAAACTTATGAGGAAGAGTTGAATTTCATGGACTCTTAGAACTGAAATACAACTTAAAGATCTTTTAGCTCAGTGATCTCTGGAGTTTTAGATTTTACAGAACAAAAGAAAACAAAATTGGTGAGAGGGTGAAAGAAGGTGCAGAGTGGCTTAGTTACCATTGTTTAAATTTTCCAGATCTTTCCTATTTCTACAGCATACACGTTATGTATATAAGGGAGCCATGGTGGCACAGTGGTTAAGTGCTCGGCTGCTAACTGAAAGATTGGCGGTTTAAACCTACCAGTTGCTCCTATGGGGAAAGTTGTGGCAGTCTGCTTCCGTAAAGATTACAACCTTGGAAACCCTACAGGGTAGTTCTACTCTGTCCTATAGGGTCGCTATGAGTCAGTGAGTTATATATGCATTTGGAGTTTTTTTTTTTTGTAATGCAGTGTTGCAAATAGAGTCAATTGGAACACAAACATAATTTATCAAAATGAAAACATTGAATTTATATAACCTTATGAAAAATTGAGAATATTGTCCTTATTCTCATTTTGACGGGCAGAAATGCAAATTTCATCATGGATTAGGGACAGTGGTTGAGGAATCCCCTAACTAATACACACTTTCATTTTGGAGAAAGGGATACCTTCCTGATATCCTTAGGTCTTAGGATAAGGCCTAAAAGACGCTAATGAAATTAAATGAGCTCAGATGGCTCATCAGAGGCAGGCATAAGACAAGAATTCTCACTTTCTACTTCACAGTGTTCTTTCCATGGCACTATATTGATTTCCACCAGGCAGTGTTCGTTCTGTTCTACATAGGGTCGTTATGAGTCAGAACCGACTCCACGGCACTGAACAACAACATACTGATTTCAGGAATTTGAGATTTATCTCTTTTTCTGCATTCTCTGTAGTAGGTGGGTTAAACTGTAGACAAAACACAAGACTGAATGGAGGGACAGCATTGATTATTCATTAGTTACCCATTGAATTCATAAAGCATTGTTAAGATGGTTAAAATGTGTGATGCAGCAAACACTGCTCTTAGAACCGAGTCCTCAAGGTAGCAGAAAGAACAAATGCTTACCCTCTGAAGTCATTGCCGTTAATTAGGTTGTTTGTTTTGTGTTTGCGTTTCCTTGAAACAAGAGACAGCAGTTCTAGAAAAATCTTTATTTTATTGCCACAGATATGGCAAGCAAACCTCTGCAAACCATTTTGAAGAAAGAACAGGGCCCATATGGCTGGATGATGTCAGCTGCTCAGGAAAGGAAACCAGTTTTCTTCAGTGTTCCAGGAGACAGTGGGGAAGACATGACTGCAGCCATTGGGAAGACGTTGGTATCGCCTGCCACCCCGGGGGCGATGGACACAGACTGTCTCTGGGTGAGGACCAACCACAGCTTTCCAGCATCTGTAATTCAGTAGCCACCGTGCCTCCAACTGCTGGTCTGAAATGTAAAGCGTTTCTCAGCTTTGGCCTTTTTAAAAGTCTCTTTCCCTTCATTCTCTAGTTTTTAGTAATTTTTACACGCTGAGAAAAGTAATCTTTTGAAGCTGTCCACCAATGTTATGAAATTTCTGTCCCTTAAAAATCTTTTTTCCTTACCCAGGAGCCTGAGTTCCTCACAAAAATCTTTATAACTGTGTGTATCTGAAAGGAGGAATAAAGAAGCTGTAATGTCTATTCCCTTATTCCTTGGCATTGCTTGTTCTACCTTGGATCTTAATGAGCTTTTAGGAATGGTATTAAAAAAATAAAGAGAGAAAGAATAGCCACTCCTACTCTCCCATGGTTGATTCATTCCTTCTTTAGTCCGGAGGCCCTGTCAATCCTTGGTCTCCCCCAGTTGCTGCTGAGTACATTCCAACTCACAGTGACCGTGGAGGACAGAGTAGAGCTGGCCTATACGGTTTTCAAAGCAGTAATCTTTATGGAGGAGCCTTGGTGGTGCAGTGGTTAAAACGCTGGGCTGCTAACCAAAAGGTCAGTGGCTTGAACCTACCAGCTCCTCGGGAGTAAGATGTGGCAGTCTGCTTCTGTAAAGATTACAGCCTTGGAAACCTTATGGGGCAGTTGTTCTCTGTCCTATCGGGTGGCTATGAGCTGGAATCAACTCAATGGCAGTGTTTTTTTTTTTTTTTTAACTTTCATGGACGCAGATAGCCAGATCTTTCTCCCAGGTGGAGTGGTTGGTGGGTTCAAACCACTGACCTTTTGGTTAGCAGCCAAGAGCTTTAATTATTTCTTGGTGAGCTCCTAAGTGAATCTTCCATTAGAATTAATAGCTTACCCATCTTTATAAGATACCGTAGAAACATATTAGGATCTTTGCTACTCCCTAATTCCAAATTTCTTCAGACTTATAGTCTGATAAAGGTAAACAGCTCCTGTAACAGTCTTGAAAAATTTACAGATAAAGATCCCCCTTGTGAGCAGAGAGCATCCTTGACACTGTAAACATCCTTGACAAAGTTAACTTCTGATGAGGAGGGCAGAACAAATATGAATGAAACATATAGAAAGAAATATTCAGAAGACTTGCTAGGATGTTACCACAGCTCCATTTTATATCTGGACATGCATTGTTTTTGTGAATGGGTGCAAATGATTTATAATCACAGGTGCTCCTTACTTTTCACCTCAGGGTTGCACCAACTCCTCTTTTTTTTCATAATTTGTTTTTTTGTTCTTGCTGAAAATATTCACAGCTGAATATACACCAGTTTAACAACTTCTATATGTATAATTCAGTGACACTGATTACATTCTTCAAGTTGTGGTACCATTCTCACCCTCCTTTTTCGAATTGTTCCTCCCCTGTCAACATAAATAAACTCACCGCCCCTAAGCTTCCTGTCTAACCTTTCAAGTTGCTATTGTCAAATTGCATCAACCCCTCTTGCATCCTTCTGTTTTGAGACTGTGAAGTGTAAATCTTCCAAGTTATAAAATAGAAAAACTTGTTAAATCCCACAGTTGAATATTAACCATGTTGCATATTTTAAGTTTGTTAAACTTAAAATGGTTGATTCCTCATTATAGTCTAAACTGTGAGATCATGATGACTCTAGCATTATATCAAACAGAAATATAAAATTTTACTCCATCTCTTGGAAGCCGCATTTCCAGCTTTCTTTCTTTTCATTTTTTCTCCTTCTCCCTTACGCCTTTCTTCTTATGGAGGATTTATGACGAATGACTGCATGTGGTTTGGGGAGATAGAGCCTGTTTACTAGAAATGGATCTTCTCAGCTGGTATTTGGATTGAAGAGTGATCTATTTAGGTGTGCTTTGTCTGTACTACAAGTGACAAAATACTAACCATGTGATCTGAGTTCTCTGACAGCCTGCGTTGTTAAATACATTCATATGGTCAGAATAGCTAAGCTTTTCAGTTCCCCGGAAAGCCTTTTTAATTCTAAGATTCTATATGTATTTTTTAAATATTTAAAAAGTAGAGGGTGATAATTATTATAAAATATGTCATTATTATGAATCTCTTTGGTTCTAATCTCAATAATGTGTCTATTAACTAAGGTCATTTGTCTGGAGAACATTATGTCTGAGCCAAATATTCTTTTGGCATAGGATCATATGACTATCTATTTATTAAAAAAGATCATTGCTTTCCCACTTACCAAATAGTGTTGAATATTTAAAAGATGTTTAAAGGAGATCATAGCATAGTGATATAAACAGCTGCGTTGAAGAAACAGTGGCGATTTCTTACTTCCTTGGCAGTACAATAATAAGCTCTTGGACTACTACTATTTTCAATTATTTGAAGTGTAGCTTCTGGACCTTAACTTTAAATGTGAGTGAAACTATCCTCAAGATGAGTTACAGCTCAACAGACATTTTCTATTTTTGGGTCTGTGGAAGGTGGAATGTTCAAGAACAATATTCTAGATCAGTAAAAATAATGCTAGTAAGAACACAGTTAATGCCTATGTGAATTGTGGGAAATTTCTGGGGTGGTAAATATGCAAATTTCTCATTTTGCTATTGCATTGATTCTAACGTTCAGAGTATTAAGACCTACCAAAGGTTTCTTTCATAGTGAGCTTACCTCTAAGTTTTACTCTATACTAATAGAGTTAGAGTTTTAACTCATGTTTATAGTATACTTTACCTTTTTTTTAGGAAACTTATTTTCTAAAAATAATATATTAAATCAATGTTACAGGAAAAATTAAAATAAAACTCTACTATAAATAAAAGTTTGGGATATATAATTAAAGATGCTGTTTATTCATAGGACAGTTTAGTTTTCCCATTTTTTATTTATGTAAGATCTTATAAATAAAACATGTTGCATATCATTACTTGCTTGAAGGCGAGTTGAACGACAAAATCCATTCTATCTATATTGTCCAACTCCCCTTCAAATAAGTAAAACGAATGGCTAAAATTAGGTTCAGAAATATTGTATGAATTAGTTTTTTAAAGCATGCAACTTAGACTTAAAACCACTTTATCATTTTTATTTTTAAAGTATATGAGATACCACCCATAAAACTACCAGAATGGAACATGGAGATACAATTCTGTGGGCATATGTTTTCCTAATTTTGGACAAAAGATCCCAAAATGTAAAAGTTGAAAACCTTTTTCACCTTTTTCCTCTTGTAAAGAACCCTAGAATGTCAGGTACAATAAGAAGAAATGTAAAATTTTATATATACTTTGTTTTATGACAGCTAAAACACCAAGTTTTTTAACTAATAGTAAGCAGTCCATGGAATAGGCACTTAATAAATACCTGTTGATTGACTGAATGAACACTGTGAATGCTAATTATATGTTGCTGAAGAAGGGAATGGAGTGGGCATATGAACTTCACTTAGTACCTACTGTGTGCCAAGCATAATGCTAGAGATATTTTACATTAATTGTTTCTCTTAAAACTTATAAGAAAAAAAAACTTATTTTTTATTGATCACCCAACTGTGTTAGGAAATGCAGTCCACTTTTTTTTTTCTGTTACTGTCAGTAACATTTACCCAAATGAGATAAGTATTATTAAAAAAAAAAAAATCCTAAACATTAATACATTCTAGTTTTCCAGATTTAAATTTGTGATTGTTAACTTTTAATCTGAATACACCTTAAGAAAAGACCCAGATTGCACTTGCCTCAGTCAAGGGTCTTTTGATTGCAAGTAGCAGAAGCCACTAGAACTAATTTAAGGCAAATATATTGAAGCCCTGGTGGAGTAGTGGTTAAGAGCTACAGCTGCTAACCCAAAAGTTGGCAGTTTGTATCCACCAGCCGCTCCTTGGAAACCCTATGGGGCAGTTCTACTCTGTCCTATAGGGTCACTGAGTCAGAATAAACTTGACAGCATGGATTTTATACATACATATATACAGATAGATAGATAGGTAGATAGATAGATAGCTTGTGGAACCCAAGTACAGCTAGGCTTCATCAGGTGGTTAAGCTAGGAGCTGGGAAGCCACCAGCAATTCTAACTGAGCAATCTCTTTGCTCTCTACAACTGCTTCATTCATTTATCTTTCAGTAGTTGGCTTTCTTGTTTTTTCATGCAATTAGCTAGGATTGATGCTCCTTTTTTTTTTTTTTTTTTCTGGAATTCCCATATTATATCACCTCAGTTCAACGTAATAGCCAAGGCCAAGGTTGTTACAATTTCTCAGTCCCAACTCTAATTTTCCAGAAGAGAAAATCCGATTGATTTAGCATTGATTGGGAATCCATCCTGATCTAATCAAGTGTGACCAGTGGAATGAAGTTACATTGGGTACTGCAGGCCTGTCTGTGAGTGAAGGGCCAAACAGAAGCTGCCATACATCTCAAAAGGTATTTCCTATAGAACTGTACTGCAAAATGCTCAGTCAACCACATGCAAATAAGTGAAAACAGTCATATTTTATGTCACCGAACTTAAGAGTTGAAAGTGCTTTAGAGATAATACAACTTTAGAGTGGTGCCTGACTCATGAAGTGTATTAGATATGCATTTGCTATCGTTGTTATAAAGGTTTCATTACCCTGTTTTGCAGGAAATGGGTGAAGTTAGGTAACTCGATCAAGGTCACAAAGAAGTTATTTGGCAAGATTATAATTCAGATCTTTTAGTTTAGTGTTGTGTATTCATTACTGATTGCTTACTCTGTGCCATGCACTGCTTTAAAAACTTACACTTATCATCTCATTTAACACTTACAACAATACTATGAGGTACTTACAATTATTATCCCCCTTTTCAATGTGAAGAAATTTAGGCACACCGAGGTTAAGTCACTTGCACAAAGCCATAGGTAGGATTTGAACCCAGGTGGTCTGATTCTGGAGCGTCTATAACTGCTTTGCTATATTTACTCTACTGTCCGTCTCATAAAGTGAGCTTGATCAGGAGTAGAAACTAGGGAGGCAACAACTCGGGGGAACAAAGAGGAGTAGAGAAGGAACAATGAGTCAGAAGAATAAAAGTAGGATGTGACTATCTTGGAAACCCTGGAGGCATAGTGGTTAAGAGCTATGGCTGCTGATCAAAAGATTGGCAGTTCGAATCCACCAGGCACTCCTTGGAAACTCTATGGTGTAGTTCTACTCTGTCCTGTAGGGTGGCTATGAGTTGGAATTGACTCGACGGCAATGGGTTTGCTTTTTTTTTTTGGTTTTGGTAACTATCTTGCCAAAAATATTTCCTTTCAGTTAACAAATGCCAATGTAGTAATTGCTTTTGTTGGCTTAAACATATATCAAATGGTATTTTGTTCTTTAGCTGTTGACTTTCAACTGCTTGGTGGCTCAGGATGCTTAGTTCTCCAGATACTTTCATCATGCTTCGTTGTATTCCCTAAATCCTTACCAGTAGGTCTTGGGGGACCTGAAGCTGGAGACCCTTTTAGTAATTAGCAGACCAAGGTTTGTAAGCCACAGTGAGGGCTTTCAATTAAACACCACCACATTTATTGGTGTTGAGAGAACCGTATAAAAATCTACAAATGATTTTATTTGCATAATTTAGATAAACCTCAATTTGCTGGAGATCAGTTTTTCAGCTTTTAAATCTTAGTGACTTAAGTACTTCCCTTGGAATCAATAGTAAATAGGAAGCCTTAGATAAAAATTGTTCCTGTTAAGCTGTCTGCCTTCACTCTCCCCACAATGCCTTCACAGGCATTAGACCCATTCAAGTTACCCATGCATGCCAAGGGTGTGTCTATTTATTCCTTCCTAAAAATCTTAGTTTTGGAGTATAAATTTCTAGCTATGTTCATAGATAAATCAACAGACATGAAACAAAAACAACTCTAAGTTAATGTTCTTTTACTACTTAGAAGTTAGTGGTAATAAAATAATTCACAATTTTACAGTACTATTCATTCATTAGTTCAGCCATTCAACAGCTATTGCAAGTCCTCTGTGTGCCAGACACTGTTCCAAGTGTTGGAGATATAAAGTTGAGCAAGAAGAGGCACTTTGACCTCAAGGCTTCAAAACATATTGAAAAAGTGGATCCAATTCTGCTTTCAGAGAAAAAAGTAGTATCTCCTTTTTCTGAAAAACTTACTGAGGAGTCCGTCTCCCGTCTAAAACCTGTGTGATTTTTCAGGCCTGATCATAGGCAATTACAAAAGCTTTACCTCGAAGGCCTCAGGGAAAGTTGAAAGCTGCCCTCCCCAACCAGACCTGGAGCACAGCCAATGAACTGCAGTCAGAGGGGTGTTGCAGTCAAGGACTCAGCCCCAACCCCTCGCGCTCACCAGCAGTGTTCTTTTGCATATCTGCATTCCTAGACCAGTTGCCTCCATACTGAAGCCTTTCTCAGGCACCTCTGCTAAGGCCTCTTTATGGGGGAGGTGGGGACTTGAAGACACTTTTCCCCACACTCAGTACTCAATGCTTTTCCACTCCTAGTCCTTCATCCTCACCCTCCCCACTGGCCCTGAGGTCCGTAAAACTGGGAGCCTTGTGCAGTGAGATGGGTCACCAGGGTTATGCTGATCCACCAGACCTTACCTGGGTGCTGTCCTGGGGAAATATGGAACTGGAGGTGGGGCGGGGGGAACCAGTGCCTCCTTTGGATTTCTGTTGCTTATACTATCCCAGCAAGTGATTAAAGTCTTGGCTGGTACTTTCATTTTGGCTCATTGTCTTAATTGGCTACTCTGACACCCAGCAGCTCAGCACAGCTCAGCTCTCTCCAGCTCAGTTCAGCTCCCTGACAGGAACTGCCCAGCTGACTTTATAGCTGATTAAAAAAGGAAAAAACTATTGTATTTTGTAAAGTTTCTTATGCTTAGCATCAGTTTGCTTCTTTTGGCTTTTCTAATACTTTTGAATCACAACTTAGGTTTTCCTATCAGACTGATGGATGGAGAAAACAAGAAAGAAGGACGAGTGGAGGTTTTTATCAATGGCCAGTGGGGAACAATTTGTGATGATGGATGGACTGATAAGGATGCAGCTGTGATCTGTCGACAGCTTGGTTACAAGTAAGGAAAGCTTAATTATTTGGGATGGTTAACTGATGAACGTTTTTGATTTTTAAGCTTGTTCTAATGAGTTTTCTTACCTAAAATTCTATCATTCAATTGAAAAATTCTGGGAACATGCTGATTTGATTCAGAATTATAAAGAAGTGCTAAGTAGAGTAAACTCATTGCCGTTGAGTCGATCCTGACTCATAGGAACCCTATAGGACAGTGAACTGACCCATAAGGTTTCCAAGGAGTGGTTGGTGGATTCGAACTGCAGACCTTTTGTTTAGCAGCCATAGCTCTTAACCACTGTGCCAAACCAGGGCTTTTTTACTAAGTAGAATCTATTTAAAATTTTCTGTCTTTTCATAAGAAATATGTATTATGTCACATAAGAAATGTAGCTTTTATCTAATAGCAAAATAATCTAATAATTCATTAATAATTAATAATGCCACTTCCCTTAGCCAAAAAAGTTCATCTTTTCTCTGAGATTTATGTTATGCCAGTCTATCCTTTTAAGAGATTCTTGAGTTATTGAAATATATCTACGCCCTCACTCTATTCCTGAGCATATGAAGGAAATGGAGTAAGGACATTTAAATGGAAACACATTTTCAGAATTGAAGTACTATTATCAAGGAATTTAGAAGCCACTGTTCGTATGTCTTGTATTTCAGGAAGTTCTTCAGTCCTTATGAATCAGACAGGCCTAGGTACCAGGGGAGCCTCTGGGCTTCCACGAGTCTTCATCTGATTTCCGCACAACACACCGTAGGGTCAGGTCAGCCATCTTGTAATCCAGCAATGAGTGAATTGTGAAGCTGCCCAGAAGCATTCCCAATCTTTTCCCCACCTAAGCCCAAATTTGAAAGGTCAGACTTTAGGATAAAATAAAAAAAAATTGAAGTAATGAGGCATTAAAAAAATATCTGTGAGTAATCAGCCTCAGTGACATATCAGTACTTTTCTTTGTTTTTCTTTTTGCTTTCAATTTGATCACAGAGAACAAGACTTTAGAGTTTTTTTTTTTCCTCCTTCCAATCATGTTTTTTCTCCCGAAAGGATTTCTAATACTGTGTAATAAATTAGAGAAACTTGAGAGGGAGTGGAGAAACTCACAGATATGTGTTTTGGGCTTCTATCCTGTTTTCTGGCCCTGGATATGGAGCTCCTCGTTTGGCTGCAGGAATCCCTGGGTGTCACAAATGGTTAAACATTTGGCTACTAATTGATTGGCTGTTGGGTGGGTTTGAACAGTCAACAGAGGCACCTTGGAAGAAAGGTCTGGTGGTCTGCTTCTGAAAGATCAGAGCCATGAAAACCCTACGGAGCACAGTTCTCTGACACACATGGGGTTGCCATGAGTTGGAACTGACTTGACAGCAACTGGTTTGGTGTTTTCATTTGGGTGTGCCTCCGCTCAGAACCATTTTAATTGGCAGGTAGGTCCCACCCTCAGATTTATTGTTTATCTTACAAAAATGATCACAGTTATAGCTTTGTTTAAGGACACGAAGGTTCTGTGTCCTACACCTCCTGGAGACCAAGGCTGGAGAGATAGGATGTGGCTGCAGATGGGTGCCAAGGTCACTCTGCTCAAAGCTCTGAAAATGTAGCCCTGACCCCCTATCAATGACCTAAGCCAGTTACTTGGCCATGGTACCAGACAATGCTAACCTGTGGCCTTGGCTCCAGCTTCTGTGGCAGCTGCATCCCTACCCTGGGGTAAGTGGGGATAGCATCAGAGGTCCTCTAAATCATCTTTTAAAAAACGGTAGTTCGTATGCAAACCATGGAGTTGCCAGGGCCAGCAGTAGTAAAGAAAACCTTTAAAACTAGTAACTACTTTTCTAACTTTTTCTGAAATATTAAATAGTACTTGAAATGAATAGCTGTAAGAATTTTGGTATTATCTTAAAGGAAGATCAGCAAATGGAAGAAAATGATCATTTATATTAGGTTCGGTAAAAATTTGTTTTCTTAATATTGTGAACTAGTGTTAGTCATTTCAATGTTTTAATCTCTTTTCTTGCCAATTAGATTGAATTTCATGGTCACTAATACTTGGTAAATGTCATTAATATAAAGTTAAAAATTTTAAATTAAATGCATTTTTTTTTTTAATCCAGCTTTTGAGCACCAGCATAAGTGGATGGTCGTCTTACTCCATCCCTTGGCAAGTTCTTTTTGAAAAGCACTGGCTGTATTGAAGCTGTCATGCCAAAGAGGATTGTCAGTTTTCTTGGTATGGCATGTAATTATGGCCGGTCACATGCTTGGCATCATGTATTTGAGCAGTAAACGGACATGCAGACAATTTTACCTCTTACTAGCTGAGTAGTACTGGCATATGACCCAGTTTTTCTGAGCCTTGGTTTCCTTTTCTGTAACATGCCTGGAAAATGTTACAACTTGGAGGTTATAAAACTTAAGCTAATATTCGTAAATTACCTAGCTCAAGTAGATTACTAATAAATAGTGGCTTTAATTTAAAAGTATATCCTTGATTGTTTATCTATGTGTCTTAGTTTCCTAGTGCTGCTGTAACACAAATACCACAAGTGTATGGCTTTAAAGAACAGCAGTTTTATTTTCTCACAGTTCTGAAGGCTGAAAGTCCAAAGGTCTCGGCCATGTTTATTCTGTCCTTGTTGGTAGCCCTGGGCATTCCTTGGTTCCTTGGCTTATAGACAATCCTCACATGGTGTCTGTCTTGCCCAGTTTGTGCATGCATCTCTGTTTAATCTGTTCTTTTTATAACTCAGAAATAATTAGGTTTAGGACATACTCTACACTTGTTATTGTTAGGTGCCATCGAGTACGTTCCAACTCATAAACATCCTATGTACAACAGAAGGAAACACTGCCCGGTCCTGCGCCATCCCAACAAAAATTGCTATGCTTGAGCCCATCGTTGTAGCCACTGTGTCAATCCGTCTTGTCGAGGGCCTTCCTCTTTTTCAGTGATCCTCTACTTTGCCAAGCATGATGTCCTTCTCCAAGGACTGATCCCTCCTGATAACATGTCCAAAGTATGTTAGACGTAGTCTTGCCCTCACTTCTAAGGGGCATTCTGGCTGTACTTCTTCCAAACAGATTTGTTTGTTCTTTTGGCAGTCCATGGTATATTCAATATTCTTCACCAACACCATAATTCAAAGTCATCAATTCTTCTTTGGTCTTCCGTATTATCGTACACTGATATGACCTTATTAACATAACAAAGAAACCCCTATTTCCAACGGAATTACATCTACAGGGATAGGTCACTCTGGTATAGGGGTTTGGATTCCAACACATACTTTGGGAGACACAATTCAATCCATAACTCTATGATTATCTTAAATATTGATTTAAGATAATTTAATTGGTTCTTTTTATGCAGAATACATTTTTATTTTTAAAAGTATTTCTATTTTAATAAAAGTTCAAATATCCTTTCTGAATGTTTCATTCAAAGTTTATTTTTGCCAACTCAGATTCTACTTCAGTTTACTTCTCAGTTTTGGACCTAGTTGCAATTTCAGTTGGCTTATGGCCAATGGATCTATTATTTGTGATACAGATTTTCAGTTTTCAAAATTGGTATGTGACATAAACTTTCAGTTTTCAAAATATGGGGTAGTAGAGGAAGATAGGGAGAGTCTACATTAGATACCTAGATAAATTAAGTTAATGATTTATTTTAAATTTATTTTGCTTACTATGTTCTTATCATTTCTTCTTTCACTAGAATAAAACTATCATTTTTGTTTTTATATTACAGTCCTAGTGAATTTCCTTACCTTAAATCAGCCATTAAAAGATATTGCCATTTGAGACTGGTTTCTTGGCCATGATTTTATTTTATTTTTAGTGAAGTTAATCCAGGAAATTTAATATTATCTGTGGAAATATGAAGAGAAAGATTGACATCAAACTTGATCTTTAAATTGTGTGTCTTAGCCAAGTTTAAGGAGGGAAAAAATTCTTAAGAATATTCATCAGTGCATTTCTAATTTGATTTCTTCTACATTTTTCATAGCTTTTTATTTCTCATCACTTTGTCCATTTTACATTCAACTCAAAAGGTGAACTTAGGTAAGAAACATAATCTAAATAGAATACTCAAGCTGGCAACAATTTTCAATGGTATTTCTACAGGCGTTATCAAAGAAAGCATCAGAAGATTTTACTTCATAATTACATTGTAAATAAAATCTTATTAAAGTAATTCAGTAAGTTTTTATCTTATCGTTGTATGTTAAGTGAAAGTTTACAATTCAAGTTAGTCTGTCATACAAAAATTTATACTTTGTCATGTGACCCTAGTTGCTCTCCCTATACTGTGACAGCACACTCCTCCTTTCTACCCCTGATTTGCTATGTCCATTCAACCAGCTCCTGACCCTCCCTCTCTTCTTGTCTCAGCTCCAGACAGGAGCTGCCCATTTAGTCTCACATATCTACTTGAATTAAGAAGCACACTCTTCATGAGTATCATTTTATGTTCCATAGTCCAGTCTAATCTTTGTCTGAAGAGTTGGCCTCAGGAATGGTTTTGGTGCTGGGTTGACAGAGAGTCCAGGGGCCACGCTTTCTGGGGTTCTTCCAGTCTCAGTCAGACCATTAATTGACTAGAATTTGAGTTTTGCACCCAACTTTTCTCCTGCTCCATCAGGGACTGACTGTTGTGTTCTCTGTCAGGGTGGTCATTGGTGGTAGCCGGGCACCATCTAGTTCTTCTGGTCTCAGGCTGATGAAGTCTCAGGTTTATGTGGCCCTTTCTGTCTCCTGGGCTGATACGTCCCTTGTGTCTTTGGTGTTCTTCATTGTCCTTTACTCCAGGTGAGTTGGGACCAGTTGATGC